AATTTGGTATATTTTATATTCTATTGTTGAGGAAAAAAATTATTTTTGTGAAACAGGCACATGGAAACTCATTCCAAAAGAAGGTCATGCTACTCTTTGGGGCCGGTCATGCTGCAGAGGTAGATTTTAAAATTTTGCAAGATTATTCTTGCTTAAATTTTGTAGATGCTGTTTGAATCTTAGAAAATCATGCAAGTAAATCAGTGGTGAATATCATGCCTTGTTCTGCACATAAGTAAAAAGTATGCATTGGGGTACATACATCTATCATTCATAACAACAATGCTATCCAAGTAGAATAGGTTATTGAGGGAGAGGTAGATAATATAAACATGGCATGTAGAGATGGAAGGTGAACATGTTTTGATAATTCCAACTCTGTTCCTACTTTTAAGTAAAAAAAAAAGGTTACTTTTTGAAAGCAGGTGTTAAGTTACATGAATAAGCAATTTCAACTTTTACCAATTAAAAAATTTATTTTAAAATTTCTTCACTTGTTTTCTTATTAGTAGACCTTTTAAGCTCAGTCAAACATGTCCAAGACTTAGTTGTTGCTGTTGATCCTTAGTATGCTTTAAGGAATTGAATATATTCTCCTATATTGCACATTATCTTTGATTTCATTCGTGATTACTTGGAGACATCATAAGTTACCCATTTTCAATAAGCTTGTGTGAATCTTCATTGATGTGAAGCTTTTGTTGAATTTTGATGCACTTTTGTAGCATGTATAGTAAGGTGGATTAGAAAACATTAGAAAATTTTAAAAAGAAAATTTAGTCAAAATCTTGTCTATTGTACTATCTAGTAGGGTCTAATACCTTGTACCGAAGATCCTCTTGGCGTATGTTTGGTACACGGTAGTGGTAAGACTGGACAGCATGATAAACATGATTCCTGATTATTTTTCTTTTTATTTTAATACTATCCACCCGATGTATCATGTACACTTTGAGTGGTTAAGGATTTTGCGCGAAATGTACTGACATTTTTTCATGAATTAGGAGAAGTCCCATGGTTCAAATCACGGAGGACCAACTCAAAGAGCTTCTGCTTTAGCTGCCTTAAACTCTGCATTTAGTTCAACTTCAACTTCAGCTCCAAAACCCACTTCTGCCACAAGGCCAGGAGGAATAAGTCAGGGGTCACAGAGAGCAGCTGCAGTGGCTGCTTTATCAAATGTTCTGACTGCAGAAAAGAAGCGGTCACCTGATTCCTCTCCTGCCCAATCGCCTGGTATTTAAAGTTCCCTTCTTATATGTTTCCACTAACTCTCATGGCTGAACTCTGTCCGATTTTTTGCATTATTGTCTCATGTTCTAAGTTATACCATCTCTCTATTTTATTTTATTTTTTTAAATGCATTAATTCTGGAATTTTCTAGAGATAAGATTTTTGACATCATAAATATGGGGGGTTAAATACACCAGTTATCGTTATACTTTTAAGGAAATTTCATGATGGTCAATGAAATTCATTTTGTTTCGAGTTGGTCTCTGACCTTTGTTACAATTTGGTTACTCTGTCAACGTCCATTAGTTTGTAAGAAAAGATGATGTGGTAGTTTAGTTATTTGCCAACTAAGCTTCCAAGTAGAGCGACACATCAGTTTTTCTGTTACTTAAACTAACAGACTTGAATGGAATAATCAATTTGTAACAAATATAAAATATACAAGTTCATGGACTAACTCGAAAAAAAGTTGGAAGTTAATTGAACGACTTGGAAAATTTCAGAGACATTGCTCAAAGTTCAACTAGCTCTGCTGTTTTAACCTTAAAGCTCAATTGTTCTTTTAACAACAATTGTCATGTGATTCACTTCGGGTCCAAGAATTCATAAAGTATTTTGTCTGAATAATTCTTGCAGCCGGAATAAAAAGTGAAGATGCTCCTGAGGCTGAATATTCCAAAGAAGCTTTGGAGGTTAAGGAAACTTTGACAGTCGAGTCTATCCCAGAGAATGATGGGGACGATTCGGGATCAAAGCCAGAGTCCGACCCAGATGAAAATGGCACTGAAACCGCTCTAAGTACATTTACTTATGATCAGTTGAAGGCCAAATCTGACAACCCTGTCACAGGCATTGATTTTAAACGAAGAGAGGTTTGTATCTTTGTTCCGATACAAATATTTGTCTTAACAAGCATGTCATAAAAATGACAGAAAAATGCACCATTGGTGACCTATTGCCCAAGTAGCAAGTTGATCATCGACCTTTAAAAATGATCAAATTTATTATCAAATTTTCATTATAGTTGCACAATCAGTCTAAAAGGATATAAATTTTCAAAGCTCTGTTCAATTCTCTTGGTTCTCTCACATTTCCAACTTTATAATTTGGATTTATTTCCCAACTTGAGTTTGAGTCCAGAAATTTGAAGGAGTCATGTTTCCATGATGGTCACGTGACACAGTTTAACAAATATTTAGATAGTATTAGTTTGGAGATTGATTATGCAACAATAATATATGGTTGAGGACTAACTCACATTATTTTGAAGGTCGCACACTAACTTACTACTCGGACAATAGGATAGTACCAGTGGTGCAATTTCTCTTGATAATAATTCTCGTTTTCTATTGGAGTGTTTACATTATAATTTAAGAAGTGGATCTCAGAGAATGCGTGCATAATGAGTTGTGGGTCCATAAAATGTGTAGATAAGATTGTGTTGGACTAATTTAAATTATAATTAAACTTCGCCAAACATGTACTTACTTATATTGTTTGATATTCAGGCTTATCTCTCAGACAAAGATTTTCTGACTATAATGGGAATGGTTAAAGATGAGTTCTATAAGTTGCCAAAGTGGAAGCAAGATATTCACAAAAAGAAAGTTGATCTCTTCTAGAATTTGGATTCGTGAACCAAGTAGTTCTCCACTCTCTCTACCCTTGCAAATCCTTGTTCCTTTCTCGTATATTGCCAGTTCGATCTACTTTTATACGATATCACGCCTCAATCTTGTACCTAGATTTCGATTTTTGGTGTTGCTTTGCCCAAAGAGTGATTTTTTCTATCTCATCTTCAACCCCTGCTGGATGTGCCATGCTCACTCTGACATATGATAGTTCAACGAGAACCGGCAGGATAAAATTCTTTAATTTGATTGGTGTGTGTCGATTATTAAAGTTTCGCATTTTATTTTGTGTTTTTTTATAATTGAATTTGTTAATTATAAGAGTTCAAAGGTACCGCACTCAAAATTCAAGGAATGTAGATGAGGATTGTATTTGTATGACATAAAATGCTTCAAAATTTTATGTCTATGAAATTATTGTGAATTCCTATTGAGTAGACATTTGATCGAGAATGTTGGTTTTTGCTATTATGAATATGTTTTTGATTACTCTTATGTAATTGGATACGAGATCTCCTAATGTTGCAGTCTTTTAGCCTAAAAATTGGAAAGTGAAAAGACCATTACACCCGCACTTTCGTAGTTACATTGTCAGAAGAATAAAGATATTTGTATAGAAAAATATCTATCGAATTGTTAACATCCTCTCACATGCACGTTGGTCCCGCATGAATAAAAAAATCTCAAGATGTGGTCTCTACCCCATATCGTGAGCAATTGGTGAGGGATTAGGTAAAAAAGTTCGGTACATGTAGCATTACTCTTTTCAGAAATACATTTGAGTTAATACCTTCACATTATTTTTTCATCATGGTGTAGTTGAAGGTAGGATGGGTATTCAAATTATGGATATACCATTAATAATACAAAAGTCAAGTGAAGACAAATACTTGCTCCCACTTACGGACGCAAAAGTCAAATTGAGACAAATATTTGCTCTGACTTACCGACACATCAATCGATGCGAGCCCACACTTAGATAAAATGAAAAAAGAATTTTCTTATTAGAACTTATAGCACAATGTGGAAACCGTTTCAGGTTGCAAGTAGCTAATTTGTAGTTAATAACTGGCTACTGAGGAATAGAATTAGGATGTATGGATCACAGAATCTTGTGGATAAACGCTGGGAATGAAAAGGAAAATTCTCAAATAATTTGTTATTATTGAAAATGACAGTACAAAGATAACCAAACATCTCTAGATTTGATATGGAAAAATTTGTCTAGTAATATGAGCAATAAAGGAATCCATCTCCTTGCGAGTAGCACCACCTTCCATCACTGACTGCTTTACTGCATCTCCTAATTCTGCCGCCCTCTTTCGAATCTCTTCTCCTTCTGCAGAATCCATCAATCTTCTTACAGCCTTCTCTATCATAGCTGGTGACACCAATTCTTCGCTATGCGCCCAATCCCGTACTTCCAGACCGATTTTCAGTGCTTTTGTTATTAGCACGGCATTTCTAGGCTGATCTGAATGCACCGGCCAAGCTGCTATTGGAACTCCCATGCTTATGCTCTCTATACATGAATTCCATCCGCAATGACTCATGAAGCCACCGGTGGAAGGGTGGCCCAGAATTTCCAATTGGGGTGCCCAGTCTCTCACAACAAGTCCTCTTCCTTCCACTCTCTTTTCAAACCCTTCAGGCAATGGAACTCTCCTAACCTCACCTTCGAAGACATCCCCTTTATCCGCATCTCTCAATACCCATATGAAATTTTGATCACTCTGTTCTAACCCGAGCGCGAGCTTTTTGACTTGTTCATTGGAAAACGTAGAACTTGACGGCTTACTTTGTTTATAGTGACTTATCAGAGGTTGTTTGTCAAGCCACTCTAAGCATTTTTTATGGCTGTTTGAGACCCTTTTTTCAGGTATCACCACTGGATTAAATGGTCCTATAGCCCAGACTTTGTCTGTTCCTGTCGTCTTCTCTTTTGAAAGTAAATCAAGATACAATCCCTCTATTAATCTGTTTGAATTATAAAGATCTCCGGAACTAGATTTCTTCGCCTCTAGTTGCAATTCTGTAAATTTTGAAACCTCTGGTGGAACGCAACCTTCCGAGGAAGGAAGTTCTTTTAAAATTTCTGCTTCAGTACTTAGAGCAGATTTTCCGTTAATTTCCCAGTAAAGCGCGTATATACAGAAAGCCGATATACTATTAAAACAATAGGTTTCGACATTCGTTATAGAATTTATATCCTGAACAACATAAGCCATCATAGAGTCATAAATGACAGCTATTCTTCTGGCTGTGCTTGTAAGTTTGTTTACAAAAGCGTAAACAGGCTCGCGCAGATGCATTGACGCGTGAAATGCCGGAAGGATTTGTGAGGGAAATTTATAGGTAGCATTGGGGTCAGGGGGAGGGTTGTGAAATGGAGGCGTTGGAAAATCATGGAAATGAATATTGGTGGTGGTTGAAAGGTCCCAACCCTGGATTCTATCCTTTGCTTGGCGGTTGTGCATGGTGGTGCTGACGAAATGGACGGGGATGTTGTAGGAGGAGATGAGGTGGGAGAGGTGAAGGAGCTGGTTGAGATGGCCTTGTGCCGGAAGAGGCACCATCACCACTGCGACTTGAGCCGCTTCCATACCATTTTGGACACAATTTTCTTGGCTGAGGCTTTCTGAAGCCATTGTATTGTATTGGGTCAGAAAAATAAGCTGATTTAGATTAAATGATTTAGTGGGTTTTGTATAGGATAAATTTTTTTTTTAATAGTAGTAGGCTTCTCTCCCCCTCACATCTGTATCCACTTATTTATAGTCATACAATGTTGGTGGCAAATTCTAAACTTTTTTTTTTAATTATTATTTTTACTTGCTCACCAAGGAAATTTAGAGAATATTATTATTATTATTATTATTATTATTATTACTACTATTTTGCTAGGTTTCTTGCTCCCCAAACATAGCACGTCTAGTGAAATTTGGCTTCGACGAGGACTAAAATCAGATATTTAGTAAATTTTAATAAAAATTGATGAAATGGGTGATTGAAAAGTTGTGAATCCCATAAAATATACAGTTAAAATTCATTATTAACTTTGATTTAAATCTCTACAAAACTGGGGTATAGAGAAGGATCTTCTGAGAATATGCTACAAAACATTAATATAAATAATGTTTTATGATTTCATAATAGATATAGATTAGTATCCTCTCAAGATTGTATAGATAAGTCCATCAAGAAAATGCCATTAATTCAATTTTTATTGTTTTTTAATATACCTGACAAGTAAATTAACATATTCAAAACATTATATTATAAAGTTGTCACTGTTTTTCATCCACTTGCGACAAGAACCCTTTTATCTACCACTTGTGACCTGCTTCTAATCCAAAGTGGTATGTGACTAGGAGATGATTGTGATGTCTCCTCAAGATTGGGGCTCCATGGAGAAATCCAAGCTCTAATCGAAGAGCAACAATCTGAACAGAATTAAGCTCATTGTACACATGAAACGTTACAGATGATGAGATGACAACAGTGAATTGGCTGGTTTAAATTTATTTTCTGTCCAACATTCAATGAAACGTCTATTAATTTAGACTCATGACAAAATTTGTCATTTGTCTTGCCTATCATGTTTCTTGATTCTTTCAGCCGCCTCAATAATTCTGTAATGCATATTTTTGGAATGACTATACTGTTTCTTGCTTTGATTCTACTGGTCATTTCATTGAAGATAACGCGTCAATAGAAAATCTATGTGGTTTGTCAAGAACGTTGAATCTTTTATGCCTTGGACTTTCGATAACATCCTCAAAGAAAATATCTATGTCGAATCAATGTGAATGAGGTTCAGCTTCATTCCCTCGTTTATAAGAAAATTAGACCACTACTAATATGCTAAGCTTTTAGGATATTGGAACGTTAGTCGTGCTGTCAGTAAGGGTGTCTCAAGACGGGTTAGTAGAAGGTCTGTTTCTTCTCTTGAATGATTATATGTATGATCACCCAACCGTCTACATACGATTTAAGTTAATTTTTCTGTTCACGGCCACTTTGTTTGCGAAGAATTCTTGGTTTTTGTTGAGATGGGGTTCCCATATTCTTTGTACTATTTACATTCTAAAACCATTTTCGTAGATTATCCTAGGAATTATTATAGCAGCAGAACAATGTTGTTACCATATCAATGTCTTTTTCATTCATGTTGCTAGTTGCGATTCTTCATGCTCGTGCCATAAGTTCATTGATGTTAACCCATATAACTGGTTAGAAGGAATTATTATGTATTCTGTTTTTTTTTGTCCTCTGGTCTTTAAGAATAGAATTAGGATTTGGTTATCCAACAATCATACTTCAGAGAGAATATCAAGAAGGTGAAAAAAAAAGGAAAAAAAAAAAAATTGGAGAGTAATAAACACTAAGCACTTGTGTTTTTTCCTTAGAACATGAAGAACACTTGAATGGATGAATATGTATAGAAAACTTTGTAAAAGTTTCTTTCTACATGGAATGATCTCATGAATAGATGATTTGATTATGTCTTAGGATGAAATCTGTCTCCAATATATAGATTATCATTTATTCACCACGAAAAGGTCTCAAAAGTTCATGAAAATATGAATTTTTTTCATGAAAATGCACTAAAAAGGACTAGAATTTCAAATCCAATGGCCAAAAAAATGGCTAGAGCAATCGCCTAGTACAAAACCAGTCTCTCGCCCAGGCCAAAGTTAAACCAAATCAAGGCTAAATGTCCAACATTAAGTTTGGGCACTTGTAGCTATGTCAACGAGTCGAGCTGAGCCGGGCCCGACCAAAAAAAAGAGGTTGGGCCCGAGCTTTCGGCCTGAATCTTAGCGGGCCAAGCCGGCTCGATTTTTTTTTTTTGTAAAATTTGCATTATTTGAAAACCCTCCTCCTTTATCCGTTTGCTAGTTGCGATTCTTCATGCTCATGCCATAAGTTCATTGATGTTAACCCATATAACTGGTTAGAAGGAATTATTATGTATTCTGTTGTCTCTTTTTTCCTCTGGTCTTTAAGAATAGAATTAGGATTTGGTTATCCAACAATCATACTTCAGAGAGAATATCAAGAAGGTGAAAAAAAAAAAATAATAAAAAAATTTGAGAGTAATAAACACTAAGCACTTGTGTTTTTTCCTTAGAACATGAAGAACACTTGAATGGATGAATATGTATAGAAAACTTTGTAAAAGCTTCTTTCTACATGGAATGATCTCATGAATAGATGATTTGATTGTGTCTTAGGATGAAATCTGTCTCCAATATATAATCATTTATTCACCACGAAAAGGTCTCAAAAGTTCATGAAAATATGATTTTTTTTCATGAAAATGCACTAAAAAGGACTAGAATTTCAAATCCAATGGCCAAAAAATTGGCTAGAGCAATCGCCTAGTACAAAACCGGTCTCTCGCCCAGGCCAAAGTTAAACCAAATAAAGGCCAAATGCCCAACATTAAGTTTGGGCACTTGCCTAGGCCAAAATTTTAGCCCCTCCGTTTTTTCTTCTCAGTTTGCTTTCGGTGGTTCCGTACTTGTTCTACACACCCATATGGATGTGTTACCATTCCAATATACTTATCATTATAAGTTGAACTGTAAATTACAACAACATTTTTTTCGGACAATTTGTGCCATTTTGCACTCCAAATCTTTGACAAGATCTACAACATCACAAAAGGCTACATGGGCTACATAAAATTTTCAAACAATGGGCCAAGTAGCATTCCCCATTTTCAAATTATGGTTGAAAACTATTTGCGATGCCCGTAATGTTGACTTTTTTCCCATACTTGAGAATTAACCCATTTTAAAGCAAAGCGTGTTCTCCGGCCTAGTTTTCTTTCAAATTTGTCTTTTGGGGTTAAGGACATTGAGATTGAAGAATCCTATGCCTGTAAAGAATCATAAAATCAAATACAAACAACAATAAATTGTTCCTGTATCGTTGTGATTTTGTTGCTATATACCGATATAAGAGGACTATGGAATTTCTATATACATGTATAAATGCGTCTAGTTTTGCAACAAAAGTTATTTTCATTTCTTATCGAAACAGAAAGTGCAACAAAAAAAAAATTACTATTCTTTTGACGTTTAGTTTCTTGTGCGATTTTTTTTTTTTTGAAATGTTAAGTGTTACTGCACTTGACGAATTCGCTTGCTGTACTGGTTTCAAGTTCTGATAAGATTCCATAATGAGAGATGGAATCAATTGTTTCTTTTTATAAGACTAGTTATGGCCGTGCAATGCACGGACTTTGTTAATTTGAAGGTAATATTAGCGTTGAATATGAAGGATTAAAGGGAAATATAAGCAAGGTTAGCAAAATGAGCTTAATTGAAACTTGACAACACTCTATAAGGCGGGCGTGTTTTTTTTTTTTTTGAAATGTTAAGTGTTACTGCACTGGACGAATTCGCTTGCTGTACTGGTTTCAAGTTCTGATAAGATTCCATAATGAGAGATGGAATCAATTGTTTCTTTTTATAAGATATCCATTGGCATTCAGTTCAATTCTCTTTGCCTATGGTAAACTGATAGAATAATACCTTTCAATAATGATCACAAAATGATAAATCAGGCACGCAACCATTACCAAATGTACTTTTATCATTAAGAAGCTTAAGCCCCTTAATACTCACGTGTGCAAATCTATTGTATCATTTACGTGATTGATCGACTTTAGAAGAAGAGAAAGATGAGTCTAAACCTCTTATTACTTCTCGTGTAATGACTATATATCATTATTTCTCATTCCTTTAATAAAAACACGGTTAACCTTTATCATTTTTAATATCACATTCCAATTTTAATAGTGAAGCCAATTTTCTCAAGTCTTCATGCTGAAAGTAATACTTTCTATGCCATACTTAATTGCATTTTTATCTCTTTATAAGTTTGAGCATGGAATTAAGAAATATTAACACAGAATCTTGTGCATAAACACTTGGAATGAAAAGGAAAATTCTCAAATAACATAGTATTCTTTAAAATGACAGGTTGTACCTAGCAATAAAGATAATCAAACATCTCTAGATTTGAGATGGAAAAATTTGTCTAGTAATATGAGCAATGAAGGAATCCATCTCCTCGCGAATAGCACCACCTTCCATCACTGACTGCTTTACTGCATCTCCTAATTCTGCCGCCCTCTTTCGAATCTCTTCTCCTTCTGCTGAATCCATCAATCTTCTAACAGCCTTCTCTACCATAGCTGGTGACACCAATTCTTCTCTACCGCCCAATCCAGTACTTCCAGACCCATTTTCAGTGCATTTGTTATTAGCACGGCATTTCTTGGCTGATCTGAATGCACCGGCCAAGCTGCTATTGGAACTCCCATGCTTATGCTCTCTATACATGAATTCCATCCGCAATGCTCACGAAGCCACCGGTCGACGGGTGTCCCAGAATTTCCAATTGGGGTGCCCAGTCTCTCACAACAAGTCCTCTTCCTTTCACTCTCTTTTCAAACCCGTCAGGCAACGGAACTCTCCTAAACTCACCTTCGAATACATCCCCTTTATCCGCATCTCTCATCTCTCAATACCCATATGAATTTTTGTTCACTCTATTCTAACCCGAGCGCGAGCTTTTTGATTTGTTCATTGGAAAACGCAGAACTTGAGCCAAATATCACTGAATTCAGAGGTTGTTTGTCAAGCCACTCTAAGCATTTTTTATGGCTGTTTAAGTCCCTTTTTTCAAGTATCACCACTGGATTAAATGGTCCTATAGCCCAGACTTCGTCTGTTCCTTACGTCTTCTCTTTTGCAAGTAAATCAAGATACAACCTCTCTATTAATCTGTTTGAATTATAAAGATCTCCGGAACTGGATTTCTTCGCCTATTGTTGCAATTCTACAAATTTTGAAACCTCTGGTGGAACGCAACCTTCCGTGGAAGGAAGTTCTTTTAAAATTTCTGCTGCAGTACTTAGAGCAGATTTTTCAGTAACTTCCCAGTTAGATGCGTATATACAGAAAGCCGATATACTATTAAAACAATAGGTTTCGACATTCGTTATAGAATGTATGTCCTGAACAACATAAGCCATCATATAGTCATAAATGACAGCTGCAATGACTCGTGAAATGCCGGAAGGATTTGTGATGGAAATTTAGATGTCGCATTGGGGTCAGGGGGGTGGTTGTGAAATGGAGGTGTTGTAAAATCATGGAAATAAATATTGGTGGTGGTTGAAAGGTCCCAACCCTGGACTCTATCCTTTGCTTGGCGGTTGTGCATGGTGGTGCTGACGAAATGGACGAGGATGTTGTAGGAGGAGATGAGACGGGAGAGGTGAAGCCGTGAAGGAGCTGGTTGAGATGGCCATTTGCCAGAAGAGGCACCATCACCACTACGACTTGAGCCACTTCCATACCATTTTCTTGGCTAAGGTTTTCTGAAGCCATTGTCTTGGTTTATAGTGACTAGGATTTGATGGCAGTGGCGAATCCAGGAGTGGAGGTCAGATAGGGCGATCGTTGATCGTCGTCCGTCAATGGCCGTAATAGTACGATTGTTTATTAATATTTTTGATACTAATGACTAATGAGGTTGTCAAATCCAATTATCCCAAGTAACCAATGATGGAAATAAATATTGGTGGTGGTTGAAAGGTCCCAACCCTGGACTCTATCCTTTGCTTGGCGGTTGTGCATGGTGGTGCTGACGAAATGGACGAGGATGTTGTAGGAGGAGATGAGACGGGAGAGGTGAAGCCGTGAAGGAGCTGGTTGAGATGGCCATTTGCCAGAAGAGGCACCATCACCACTACGACTTGAGCCACTTCCATACCATTTTCTTGGCTAAGGTTTTCTGAAGCCATTGTCTTGGTTTATAGTGACTAGGATTTGATGGCAGTGGCGAATCCAGGAGTGGAGGTCAGATAGGGCGATCGTTGATCGTCGTCCGTCAATGGCCGTAATAGTACGATTGTTTATTAATATTTTTGATACTAATGACTAATGAGGTTGTCAAATCCAATTATCCCAAGTAACCAATGATGGAAATAAATATTGGTGGTGGTTGAAAGGTCCCAACCCTGGACTCTATCCTTTGCTTGGCGGTTGTGCATGGTGGTGCTGACGAAATGGACGAGGATGTTGTAGGAGGAGATGAGACGGGAGAGGTGAAGCCGTGAAGGAGCTGGTTGAGATGGCCATTTGCCAGAAGAGGCACCATCACCACTACGACTTGAGCCACTTCCATACCATTTTCTTGGCTAAGGTTTTCTGAAGCCATTGTCTTGGTTTATAGTGACTAGGATTTGATGGCAGTGGCGAATCCAGGAGTGGAGGTCAGATAGGGCGATCGTTGATCGTCGTCCGTCAATGGCCGTAATAGTACGATTGTTTATTAATATTTTTGATACTAATGACTAATGAGGTTGTCAAATCCAATTATCCCAAGTAACCAATGATGGAAATAAATATTGGTGGTGGTTGAAAGGTCCCAACCCTGGACTCTATCCTTTGCTTGGCGGTTGTGCATGGTGGTGCTGACGAAATGGACGAGGATGTTGTAGGAGGAGATGAGACGGGAGAGGTGAAGCCGTGAAGGAGCTGGTTGAGATGGCCATTTGCCAGAAGAGGCACCATCACCACTACGACTTGAGCCACTTCCATACCATTTTCTTGGCTAAGGTTTTCTGAAGCCATTGTCTTGGTTTATAGTGACTAGGATTTGATGGCAGTGGCGAATCCAGGAGTGGAGGTCAGATAGGGCGATCGTTGATCGTCGTCCGTCAATGGCCGTAATAGTACGATTGTTTATTAATATTTTTGATACTAATGACTAATGAGGTTGTCAAATCCAATTATCCCAAGTAACCAATGATGGAAATAAATATTGGTGGTGGTTGAAAGGTCCCAACCCTGGACTCTATCCTTTGCTTGGCGGTTGTGCATGGTGGTGCTGACGAAATGGACGAGGATGTTGTAGGAGGAGATGAGACGGGAGAGGTGAAGCCGTGAAGGAGCTGGTTGAGATGGCCATTTGCCAGAAGAGGCACCATCACCACTACGACTTGAGCCACTTCCATACCATTTTCTTGGCTAAGGTTTTCTGAAGCCATTGTCTTGGTTTATAGTGACTAGGATTTGATGGCAGTGGCGAATCCAGGAGTGGAGGTCAGATAGGGCGATCGTTGATCGTCGTCCGTCAATGGCCGTAATAGTACGATTGTTTATTAATATTTTTGATACTAATGACTAATGAGGTTGTCAAATCCAATTATCCCAAGTAACCAATGATGGAAATAAATATTGGTGGTGGTTGAAAGGTCCCAACCCTGGACTCTATCCTTTGCTTGGCGGTTGTGCATGGTGGTGCTGACGAAATGGACGAGGATGTTGTAGGAGGAGATGAGACGGGAGAGGTGAAGCCGTGAAGGAGCTGGTTGAGATGGCCATTTGCCAGAAGAGGCACCATCACCACTACGACTTGAGCCACTTCCATACCATTTTCTTGGCTAAGGTTTTCTGAAGCCATTGTCTTGGTTTATAGTGACTAGGATTTGATGGCAGTGGCGAATCCAGGAGTGGAGGTCAGATAGGGCGATCGTTGATCGTCGTCCGTCAATGGCCGTAATAGTACGATTGTTTATTAATATTTTTGATACTAATGACTAATGAGGTTGTCAAATCCAATTATCCCAAGTAACCAATGATGGAAATAAATATTGGTGGTGGTTGAAAGGTCCCAACCCTGGACTCTATCCTTTGCTTGGCGGTTGTGCATGGTGGTGCTGACGAAATGGACGAGGATGTTGTAGGAGGAGATGAGACGGGAGAGGTGAAGCCGTGAAGGAGCTGGTTGAGATGGCCATTTGCCAGAAGAGGCACCATCACCACTACGACTTGAGCCACTTCCATACCATTTTCTTGGCTAAGGTTTTCTGAAGCCATTGTCTTGGTTTATAGTGACTAGGATTTGATGGCAGTGGCGAATCCAGGAGTGGAGGTCAGATAGGGCGATCGTTGATCGTCGTCCGTCAATGGCCGTAATAGTACGATTGTTTATTAATATTTTTGATACTAATGACTAATGAGGTTGTCAAATCCAATTATCCCAAGTAACCAATGATGGAAATAAATATTGGTGGTGGTTGAAAGGTCCCAACCCTGGACTCTATCCTTTGCTTGGCGGTNTGGATGATGGTGACATAGTCCATGACCCCATTGAAATAAAATTCTTTATTTCTTATATTTTTTAATTACGCATTCACAGAATAAAATATTCTGCAAGTAGACTCAATTTTTTTTCTACCTTTTAACCACACATTCTCTAAAAATTAACTATTCAAAACATCATTTTCCTCAAGTTTCTCTTTATAATGACCATCAAATAGGGAGTTAATATGTCCCCTCAAGATTGGGATTCCATCAAGAAACTATAAGCCCCGATCAATGAGCAAGAAACTGAACACGAGTCACTGATTTTTTAAGGGAATCGGCCAATTGATCATTTGTGTGAATGTGTGCCACTCGGAGCTTCTTTTTGGCAACTCGATCTCGAATGAAATGAAACTCTTATCTTTATGTGCTTCATCTTCAACTGAAACACTCGATTATCACATATATATGTTGCTTCAACATTGTCACAGAAGATGGTTGGTGGAATAGGACATAAAAACGGTGGATTAGCACATAGATATGTTGCCCCAACTCTGTAACTGGCCGAAGAATGAAAGCTTAGAGAATTTCTTGTATGCTGGAATTGATAAAATAGCAAGTTTGAAATTTTGTAGCCCGGTCTTGGATCCATCCCTGTTTGTAGTTCATCGTTTCAAAGCACGAGACATAAAACGTCTATTAATTTGGACTAGCATAACAAAATTTGTCAATTATCTTATCCATCAAATTTCTTGATTCCTTCATCCTCCTCAATAATTCTTGATTGCATATTTACTATACTATTTCTTGCTTTGATTCTACTGGTCATTCCGTTGAAAATAACGAGCCAATAGAAAATCAACGTGGTCTAGCACATTGAATCTTTTATTTTCAGACTTAAGATAACAGCCTTAAAAAAAAAATAGACCAGAACTTGAATATAATATATTATCACCTAGTACTTCCCACCGGTTTGAAATAGACTTTTATTCATTGAATATCATGTGACAATTGACTGGTGCCACTGGTCTCTTGTTACACAGGATGCCTTTGTTGAGTTACCAGAATTTCGTAGATGCTCACAAGCAACATCCATGCTGAATGATTCGTTGATAAGGAAATTGAACAGCTACTCCTAATATGTTAGGCTTTTAGGATGGACGTCAATTGTGCTGTCGGTAAAGACATCTCAAGACGTGGTAGTATATCCACCTACGTACAATTTCAGTTAATTTTCCTATTCTTGGCTACTTCGTTCATACTCTTGGTTTTTGTTGAGATGGGGTCCCCTATGTATTATTTTACATTCTAAATCCATTTTCCTAGATTATCGTAGGAATTACCATAGCAGCGTAGTGTTACCATATCAATGTATGTTTCATTTATGTTGCTAGTTACGATTCTTCATGCTCGTGCCATAAGTTTATTGATGGTTACACATATAACTAGTTAGAAGGAATTCTGTTCTCTTTTCTCCGGTCTTTAATAATGGAATTAGGATTTGTTTACCAAACAATCATACTTTAGAGTAGGGATGGCAACGGGACGGGTATGTGACGAGTCAGTCATTCCCACCCTTGTTCCATCGGATATTTTTGTTACATTGCCCCATTCTCATACCCATTTAAAGCGGGACGGGGTGAGATAGAAGCAAGGCGAGGCGGGGCAAGTCCACTACCCCATTTGTCGCCTCATTTATTTTTTTCTTTTTATTTATTTATTATTATTTTTTGTTTGCTTTCTTTTTTTTTTTGTCTTTATCCAGTAAATATTATTATTTTTTACCAATTTGTTATAAACAACTTATGTTCTCTTTAAAAATATGATAAATCTATTTTATTTTTTTTTTTATAAAAAACTTAAATTTAAAATTAATTTTAAACGAGATAGGGACTATGACTCCCGTACCCGGTTCGAGGCAATGACAATCGCCCCGTCCCGGCTCCGTTTACCCGATTAGGCGAGTAATCTCCGTTCTGTTCTGGGCGGGACCTCACGAGTTTCGGATTGAACGGATTTTTTTGCCATCCCTACTTCAGAGAAAACATTAAAAAAAAAAACGAAAAATTGGATAATAATAACCCAAGAATTTATGCGGAAAACTTCAAAAATCACAGAAAAACCACAGTATGTCAAAGGATGTAAAAAATAATTGCAATCGAGCAATATTTCTCACCTGCTGATTCCAAGAACACTTGCGTTAATCTTTTCCACACATTCAAAAACTACAAAAGCGAACTAAGAATTTTCCTTGGCGTGCCTTTGACTATGGGCAAACATGTGCATTCTTACCCGAC